GTGGAAACTCCCAGGTGTTTTCTAGCTGTGGCTGCAGCCAGCAGTGCAGGGAGAGCAGCCCAGGTACACTCACCTGGGCAGCATCTGGGGCCAGGGAGCTGCCTGCACCCCTGAGGCTCCCTAGGGCATCTTCCTTGTGATCTCATTTAGGTTCCTGCTCTGGCAGGGGGATTGGACTAGATGATCTTTCGAGGTCCCTTCCAATCCCTGACATTCTGTGATTCTGTGATTCCTCCTGGAAGCAGGAGACCAACGGAGCTACGGGATAACACAGCCACACAGTCTGTGCTGCCTATAGATCCCCCTATAGCAGGTCATTATCTCACTCCAAGCAGCAGTTTGGGCTTCGTAGGACTGAGCAGAAAACAAGACCCTGACCCAAGCCACGGCACAGCAAGCCAGGACACAGACCCTGCTGCCTGCACATCAACCACATCCTTTCTGATCCCATTTTATAGGAGGGGGTGATGCCCAGCACAGCCCAGGGGCACCCCGGCTCTTTCCCACACACAACAGGACAGATGAACGTCACCCCAGGAGAGCGCGTGGCACTCAGGCAAGGCGAGAGCCCTCCTGCCAGCCTGCCGCACGGCTGCTCCCGCAACCCAGGAATGGGCTCCCACACTGCTCTCATTTATTCTTCCATCGATCCGAGCCGAGCTGCAACGTGCCTGAATCCAGCCGCGCCTGAAGTGTGAAAGGCAGGGAACGGGCAGGGCTGCTGCCAAGACCGAGAGCCGTTAGCGCGAGGCGGCCGCTGGCAGCCTGCCCGCTCCTGCCCGCACGGGACTGAGCTGTCTGCCAGCCAGGGAGAGGCGGAAGGAACGCTGGACACACCGTCACAGTCCTGCTCCAGCCAGGGAGCGATGGTGCTCGGTGGTCCTCACCTCCCCGGGACTGTGATACCCCAGGACAGCATCTGCTCCAGCCCCACGGTGCAGCACCAGCGAGCCCTGATGCCACAGTAGTTGCCTGGGGCTCACGTGAGCGTATCAGGGCTGACAACCTGGTGCTGGCACAGGCAGCGTGGGGAGAGGTGCAGCGGCTGCCCCACCTGCCCAGACCATGTCCTGATGGCACCTGCTGAAGGCAAAGCCACGGCATAGGACTGTCCTAAGAAGTTAAGGCTGGAGGCAGATGCTCCTTGAGTGTGACACGGTCTTCCCGTGCCCTGCAGATGTAGGACTCACCTCACAATCCAGATGTGGACCAACAGCTGCCCCACACTCAATCTGTTCACCTCTAGGAGAATCAGGACCCTCACTTCCCTGGCTAGAGCCTGCAGAGATGCCAGGCGCTCACTCCCTTCTAAAATCAGCTTCCAGACATCCATCTGTTGGCACAAAGTGCCTGATGCAGGGCAGGTCTATGTGCTATTAGGGAAACTGAGGCACCAAGCACCTTGCTCCTGATGTAAGCAGACGGCCTGGGGATAGCCCTACAGCTACCGGCTTCCACATCTGCACCTCCCACAACAAAGCAAATGTCCTTTCATTCCCTATTCCAGCTCCATCCAAACTTGGGATACAGGGTCAGCTGAGGGTCTGGAAACAACCAGCATCTCAGAGACCCTGCTGTGAATGTACACCAAGAAATACGTCAGATTTTCCTGTGGCAGCTGGCAGCAGGGCAAACCTGCGCCGTGCGGAGCGGTTATCCCGACCTCCTGCACAATACAGCAGCTGATGGCTGCAGAGCAGAAAATTGGTGGCAGAGCACAACTGTTTGGATTTAACTTGTCACCGATGCCTCCAAAAGCCCACAACCCCCTTTCTACTCCCCAGGAGCTGATAACAGGATTCGTGAGGAACACCAACAGATACAAAACTGCTGCTGATTAAAACAAATAGAAGTAAAAGGATCAGAAGGGAGAGAGAGGGTTGTTTAAGGAGGTTATTGAAGAGAGAAAGAAAAACAGTTCTCACGTGACTGAAATAGTCCAGGCTTTAACAGCTCCTGGCAGCAACTGAGGCTCCAGGAGCTGCTGGAGTTGGGACATGTCCTGAGGGCACCTTCCCTGGGGGCCTGAGACATCCAAGACACCTTGTCCAGGTCAGCCTCAGCCCAGACCCAAGAGCAACAGACACCCCAGAACCATGCTGGGGCTCGTGCATGTGGCCCCAGGGCTCCCTCACCACCACATCACCTCCTCTACAGCGCTACTTCTAATGTCTACGCAGCCACCGCCGGCTCCCACCGCCGGCAGCCGGGGTCCTGGCCCTTACCTTTTTGTAGTCAAGTTTTGGCAGCTTTCCCCAGGCGAGAGATGAAATGAGAGCGAGCAGATGGCAATGTAAATAAAAGAGAAAAATGGGAGAATGAGAGCAGAATGGAAATGAACAGGACTCGAACGCTTGAATGTCAGAGTGGCGAGGGGGGGATCTGCCCACCCCCTGAGCAGGGGCGATGCCGGTGCCACGTGGTGCCTCCAGCCCCACAGGATGGGGTCAGCAGCCGCTATTCCCATACAACCAAGTGGGCGCGGCGAGGAGCCTCTTTCATCAGCCCTGCCTTTGCTCTTGCTGCTGTTAGATCTATCACTTGCCGCTCGCAGGTCTCCTTCCTCCCTGTCTTCCACCCACTGCAAACCCAACTAGAAATCTCCTCCTTGGCACCGCTCCCGAGCGCACCAAGGGAAGCCTGACCCAACAGCTGCTGGAAAATTCATGGGAAACAGGCATGGGGGTGGTGGGGAAGGAGGTGAAACCCACCGGCAGCCTCATCCCTGCCCTGGCAGCCCTCACAGGGAGCTGTGGGTGCTGTGCTTGCCCCATGGCCAGGAGCAGCTCCAGGTCTGCTGGGGCAGATGCCTCCATGTTCATCCCCAAAGCCAAGCTTTTGTGCTTGAGGTCTTATTCCAGATAGGGAGAACCCTGGGGTGGGGATGTGCATTCGCAGCACCCAGTACAGCACCCAGTGCAGGGGGTTCTGGGCTGGGGGCTGCAAATGAGCCAGTTAGATGGGAAAGAAGCATCCCATGAAGGCAAACAGTGTGGGCTGATCCTCTGGGGTCTCAGCTCACACCCCATTCTCCTGCAGTTTCTCCTATCTTCTGTAAAAACCCTCCACCCCTTCCCAAGATCTACAGGGACTTAGATTTTCTTCTACCAAGCCACTCACTGTGTTGACCTGGAGCCTTCACTGCTCTGGTCCTTGTGGCAGGTGAAGCAGAGAGGAACGGACCAGAGGTCAGAAGCACCTTTCACAGGTCTGGAAGCAGAATTAGGATCTCAATTATCTGTTTCTGCTCCAAAATGTGAAAAAAAAACCCTAATTGCTTCAATCACGCAGACTGCAAAGGCGCTGAGGCAGAGCACTTTGTGGCAATGATTAGCAGCATTTAAAAGAGCCATTTATAAACTGACAGCCGGTCACAGCATCACGTAATTAACAACAGCGAGTTGGGTGCTTTTCTAAAAAGCATCAATAGCTGCAACCATCTCGTCACAGGGATGAGCAGCCATCTCTGTCCCGCTGGAAACGCCCTGAAAGGCAGGGAGGGAGGAGAAGGAGAGGGCAGAAGCACTGGGTGTGGGGATGAAAGTGGAGTTGGCAAAGGGATGGCTGCAGTTGGGGACACCAGAGCCCCGGCACAACGTGGGGATGGGGGGGACACCTGGCCATCCCTGCCACAACACCTGGGTGGCCTCGTGGTTTTGCTAGGGCTCTGGTGGCCTGTGACACAGGACAAATGTGGTCAGCTCCAGGCATATGTGGTCCTTGCTGTTCACATGCCCGGCGCTGAGACATACCTTGGCTTTATTGATCGTGCAGTGCAGAGCGTTGTTTTCTTGATCGTAGAGCAAGCTGAAATCCAACGTCCCCAGCGTGGCTGCAAAGGAGAAAAGATGTTATTAACCTGCGAGGCCCAGTAAACACTGGCTCTTCCCCCTCAAAGTACAAAAGGAGTGGTTGAAGATGCCAGAGAAATGGTTGCAGACATTATAAAACATAAAGCATCCTCCTGTGAGCCCTGTTATGAAACACAGTTTCATGCTGGGAGGCTGGTGGCCATCCCCATGCTTGGCCGGTGGGGCTGGCACAGCCCTGGGAGAGGAGCGAGAGGGATGAACGGCTGCAGAGGCTTTGACCCATGGGCTTTCACACCAGTCACCCCCATCTATCAGCAGCCCCACCACAGTCAGCAGCTTCCCGTCCCCCAGGAGCTGAAAACTCTTCTCCTGGAAGATCCAGGCATGTCTGGGACACAGTCGAGACCCGCTGTTGGCATATCTCCCCTGTCCAGTGCCACTGGCGTTCCCCAAGTGCGTGTTGGTGCACTGACACCTTCAAACAAATGAGCTACCAACGGGATCACTTCCCAGCTCCAATTTGGCTGCAAACTGTAAATGAAACCCAGGGAGGATGGAAATACTTTTATGGTTAAAATTAAAAACACCAACAGCCTTTAATCAGAGCAGCGTTCCCTTACGGCATCTGCAACCCAGGAATGGCAGCAACGGGGCAGTTCCTGGGATGGGACCACAGGGAAGGGGCAGGAGACCAGAAGAAACCAGAAGAGCCTCAGCAGCAAAAGTACATTTGATATGAGAAATTCTTTCATAAAATCAAAGAATCATAGAATGGTTTGGGTTTGAAGGGACCTTAAAGCTCATCCAGTTCCAACCCCCCTGCCATCAGCAGGGACACCTTCCACTAGACCAGGTTGCTCAAAGCCTCATCCAACGGGGCCTTGAACACTTCCAGGGAGGAGCAGCCACAGCTTCTCTGGGCAACCTGGGCCAGTGTCTCACCACCCTCACACCAAAGAATTTCTTCCTAATATCTAATCCAAACCTCCCTCTTCCAGTTTAAAGCCATTTCCCTTTGGATGATCTGAGTAAATCCACTAATCCAAAGCAAAGCAAATGCCTTAAAAAGACACGCTTTCCAAAAACACGATTTAACCTTCTCCAAGGCTCCAGGACTTATTTGCACACCAAAGGCTGGATGTGGAGCAGCATCTCCCCCAGTACAGCTTTACCAGCCACCAGTCTTGAACTTCCAGGGCTGCTCTGGACCCCTCAACCCACGCTTTTCCATGCCCACCTTCCCAAAAGGGATCTGCCCAAGCACTGCCCTGCCACCACACAGCATCCCACCGCTGTTTCCAAGGTAACTGCACCTTCCTGCCACACACGTAGGTTCAGAGCAGGGAAAAAAAAAATTCCAAAATAAAAACCAGAACAATTTTGCTTAATATCAAAGCAAGGTTTGCTGCCTGGGGAGGTAAGTTAGACAAACTTTATAGCAGGAAATAAGGTGCTTTTTTCCCAGCATCAATAGCCTCTGCAGCAAGGTGCCTCGGGAGGTGGCAGATTTTTCAGGGGACTGAAACCTTCCTGCTGCAATTTCACAGCGATCTGCCAGGCTCAATGCAAGTGAGCTACAGGTTTGCCTGCTAGCAAATAAAAATCATTGCTCCGGAGCAAATATTTTGCCTTCAAAGCAGAGTAAATATTCAGAGAGATTTCTGCCAGAATAATTTACCCCCCCTTGCTCTGGAGTAATTTCATGGCACATTAGCTATCGGTTTAGGTAAGTGATAAATCAGTGGGGTTTACCTGCCAGGGCTCAGGGAAGATGGAATTGATAAAGGGTGAAGCCAAACCTGCAACACCTTGTGCATCATCTCTGGGTTTGGCCCAAAAGGGCATTTCCAAAGTAATTACCGGCCCATCTCACCCCACATCGTGCAAGGAGGAGGAAAGAGTAGCAGCTCTGAGTGTACTCGGTGACGGGGACCTCACGGCTGCGCAGCCCATCGTGCCAGGGCGGGTGTAGGGGGATGTTCCACAGCACACGGGCAAAAGCCAAGTCAGCAAAACTCAACAAATCTGTGGTTTTGTTTGAGAGCGGAAGATGAAGCCTCCGGTTTCGGAGCCTCATCATTTCCACCTGCCCTTTAATCAGCCGCTTCCTGCCAGCCCCATCGCTCGGCCCTCCCCACATCAAGCTGTTATTTTATTTTTATCACAGAAGGGGGCCCGTGGCTCAGCCTGCTGGATCTGGCAATTTATAAAGCAAATTAAAAGCTCGGCATGAAAACAGACTTTGGTCAGGAAATACTGACAAAGCCTTCTAGCCCCTGAGCACCGTAACCTGCCCCAGGGGTGAGGGCAGCAGGGAGCCCCGCTCCGGTAATCCCAACAAAACCTAAAAGAGCTGGAACAAGGCAGCAGACACTTGCTGTGCAGATGGGGACTAAGGTCCTGCACCCCAGTGCTGCTGGCCTGTGGGCAAACCTTGAGCAGCTCCTGTTCACCTCTGAGCTGCCAGGACATGGGAGGGCACAGACTGGGATGTGGGGCTCCATCCCCACTCTCCTCCAGCCATGGAAGGGTTTTCCTCTACACAAGGACTTTTTTCATTGATGGTGAGTCTCGATTCCCAAGGAAGGGTCTGCCTTCTGCAGAGGGATGTGGAAACATCAACAGAACATGTTGTGCTAATTGCTTAAAAACTGTGGCTGTATGGAGATGACAAAAGGGATCAGGCAAACTTGGTTTATCAGCTAAGGTGCCACTACGGAGCTGAGGGTGAGTGCTGCTGTAAGAGCCAGGACCCAGCAGGGTGGTGGGTGCTGAGGACACATCTCCTGCAGGAGCAGAGCACCTGCAGCGCTGTCACAGCCCCGTGGTCTCTGCCACCACCTGGGGACATGCTGCTGGGTGATGGACCCAGCACAGCTGGCTGCTCCAAGGCAGACTGACCCCAAGGTTGCTCAGGGACCTGAGGAAATAGCAGGAGACCTCCACCTGGATCCAGGGGTGGAAGCCACCCTGCAGCCCACGACACCTCCGTGTGAACCCCCACAAGACCACATCCCAGCAGGAGAGCCAGCCCTGTGCTCCTGGAAGAGGGAGCACACCGAGCGAGCGGCCAGCCAAACCAACACCAAAACATCGGGGCGGTTCTCACCGCTCTCACCCTTCCTGCAAAGCTGGAGCAGGTCCAGCCCTGGCTGTGGGAGATGGGCTGTCTCTGGCCAGGATTGGGCTCAAAAGCCCCCGGGTTGAGCAGCATGCTCCAAACAGGGCCCTTCACAAGCAGCCGCATCGCCCTTCTGTGACTGCTCTCCCCTCCCGCCTGACCTCGCAGCCGAGATGCAACTGGATTGTGTTCTTAATTAGGGGAGTGAGAGCCTAAAAAAGAAAAGGGCAGCAATTAGATTCAAAGCGCTGTTACTAGATGTATTTAACTCGACTGGTCTATTCTGAACGCTGCCCTCTAATCAGGCTGCAAATAAAAAAATATAAATAAATGTCTTTGTCAGGCATTACAAAGGCAGCTTTGTGCTCTCCAGCCAGCAGGCAGGATGTATCATTATTATTACGATTATTCTGCTCCAATGATAAAATAACCATTAGGAGAGCTGAACTCATTAGCAGGTTCTGACCCTTCTTCCTCTCCATGAATTGGGAGAGATTGATAGAAAGGTACCAGCCAGGATGTGGCATTTAACACAGGCTCTAAAAAGGAAAATAAATCTGACTTGCACAGGAATGTGGCCTCTTTTCCCACTGACCTTTGGGCATTTTGATTAATTCAGTGGGCCACAAGATTATTAGAGGCCAACATAACCAGCAGATGCGTCTCCGGGCTGAGCCGTGGGATAGGCCGAGCGCGCCTGGAGCCGGCGGGCAGCGCGGCGTCCTGGCACAGCGCCGCTACCGCCCTTGTTGGTGGAGTCGGCAGAAATTGTTTATTGCTGACATTTCCCATCAGCACCCAGGGTGATGGGGAGGCTGAAGTAGCTTCTATTTATACCTGCGGGATGAAAGGCAAAACGTGGTGATAAATCTGTGCTCGGCTCCCCTACCCAGCCCCTGTCCTTGCAGGCTGTGTGCCCTCGCCTGGCCAAAGCAGGGTGGCAGATTCGTCCCCTTGGTGGCCTGGGACACCTCAAGGAGAAGAGTTTCTCAGTCCAAGAGATGCTCAGGACATGGAAGAGGCACCAGCACTTGCAGCACAGACCCACGTGCTTCAGCACAGCCCTCAGAAAAGGGAACCAATGATTGAGTGGGCTCCTCACCTTCCAAAGTCAGGGAAGCTTTCCTAGCACGACTGCCATCAGAAAGCCCAGCAAGGCTCTATGCTGGGAGAAATTGAGGTGTGCACAAAAACCCCCACTATAGAACTAATTAAAAAGAAGTCTAAAAGCCTTAAGTCCCTCTGCTTATCAGCATTGCTGCTCCCAAGATAATCTGCTCATGGATTTTGTGCCAGGGAGATCAGAGTGGAGCAGTAAAAAGACTGCTGGGGATTGTCTGGATTAGCTTTCCCTTACAGAAAGCACAGGTTCAGTAACCTTCAGACTGGGTATTTTTTAATGCACTATAAAAGATAGGCCCCTATTCTTCCATTGCTTTAATTTTCTTCTGCAATGGAGATAATTTTAAAGGTCCTGAAAGGCAGCAAGTAATTCTGTGCACTTACAGCCCCATGTAAAATGTCGGTAAATGACTCCTCAGGAGGAACAGAAATTAGTTCTTGCCATTTCCAAGCAGGGCTGCTGGAGATCGCTTTGGGGGGGTGCCTGTGTGTGCTCCTACCTCCCCTTGTCCAGGTCCAGCAGCGCACAATGGGGCAGCACAGGCAGCAAGCACTGGGGCAGCTCAAAGATTGACTCCCTGTGCCACATGAGAGTCAGCCCCTGAAAACCCTCAGGGTTATTCCTGGAAAACAGCATCGTCAGTCCCAGCAGCCTCCCACAGCCGAGGCCAAGCTTGCCCCGCAGCCACAGCACTCCTGATCCGCGCACAGACCCGCCTGGGCTGCTGCTTGTGACTCCTCTGCCATCCTGCAAGATGCTGAGTCGAGGTGCTGCAT